AGGTTGCAACTATTACAACATACATACAACACTTTTGTTGTAATTACAACACAATATTATAATTATTATATAGTATTATAATTACTACTAGTATTGTAATTATTATATAGTGTTGTAATTATTTCCAATTATATAAATATGTATTATTATATATTAATTATTTCTTTTATGATGATATTTGTTCTATAAAAACTTATTTTTGTAATTTTTATTTTTCAAAAAGGAAATTTTTGAATAATCATAAGTGTTGTAATATTACAACACTTTAACTTTAAAAGTATTAATAGGTTGCAACCCTTACTATTACAACACAAGGTAGTAATTATCAATTACATACTACATCTTTAATCACACCTATTCTCAAAAATCTTATATTAAAAAGAACTATTTATAATCAATTACAGTTATATAAAGAATATATTAAATAACTTGGCATCGAATAATCATACAAAGATGTACTATAGCTTGTTAGAATCGTTTCACTGAGACGAATTGAATGGTAGTAGTTTTATCCTTTTACAATCATTGGCCGATAAGTTATTTAACAAAATGTTTAACATCAGCATTATAATATTTCTTGATTTACGTTTACTGCGCCATTTAACATTTTGCTAAATTTCTCGGTACCTAGTGATTGTAAAATGACGATTAATAGCTCGTTGGAATCGCCTCATCAAGACGAATCGAATGGTGGTAAGCTCATCTTATCTCTCTGTGATCAATATTGACGGAGTTACTATTTAAAAACTATTTAATATTTTTTAATTTTGGAAATTGATCTAGTGATTGGATTTCAATGTATCTTATATCATTAGATTCGTCTCATCAAGACGAATCGAATGGTAGTAAGATCGTCTCTCTAGGACCAATATTGGAAAGTTATTACACAAAAACCACTAATATTTTTTTAATTTTAGAAATTAATCTAATAATTGGATTTCAATGTATTTTATACCATTAGAACCATCTCATCAAGACGAATTGAATGGCGGTAAGATTATCTCTCTACAATTAATATTGACAGAGTTACGATACAATAAAGTTTTAAGTATAATTTTGGCCAAAATTATGTTAATTTTTGGCCAGAATTATGATATACTAATATAAGAAATTTTTTATATAGTCACATCTCTTTATAATCACCAAATATGGACTGTCCCAAATGTGTGGCTATAAAGAAAGTTGACTGTATTTCTCAATTTATTTAGGAAGAAATAAAATGATTTTAAAAATAGTATAGTTACTAATAACTATATATAAAATGAAATTACATTAATTTTAATTTTAAAATAGTTGAAATAGTCAAATTTATTTGACTTTAGATTCCAAAAAATATATAATTCAAAATTAAGCAACTCTATAATAAAAAAAGTTGCTTGATTTTAGAATTATATAGTAATTTAAATTTTAAAATTTTTGATCTCTTTTTTTTTACAAATTATAAACATAATTTTAATTAGCATTATATTTTCTACAAATATCTAAAAAAGGAAATATGTAATATTATCATGGTCTTTGCCTTCCCTTTCCTTTAAAAATAATGTTATTTTTGGCTATTCTTTTATATATAATATAATAATAATACTTAATTATTATATAAGTTTTACTGAGTATATATATATTATCTATTAATAATAAAAACTTATACAATAATAAGAAGTATAAGGTAAAAACCTTTAAATTTTATATTATAATACTCTAATTTTATTATATAGTAGATATTCAGGTTTTTTTTAAACTATAAATATATTTATAAATTTTAAATAATAATAAAAATACTTTATAAAAAAAAAATTTTTAATAATAATAATAAAAGTAAATTTACAGTATTTTCTACTTTAAGTGAAATTAATATTTCTTACTTTTTAAATCATAAATTATCAAAAATGTTAAAAATAAAAATGGTATTTATGATTTTTTTAAAGTATTAAGTAAATTTGTAGAGTAGGCAGAATTATTTATAAATTACAATTTTAAAAGCTATATATAATTTATTTTTTAAAAAACAATTTTTTTTTATCAAAAATTATATTATTTTTTTTTGAAAATAATTAGCAAAATAATTATTAAATATTTTAAATTTAAGAAAAAATCATTCTAATAAATTTTTAATTTCTTTTATTTTTGTAATTTTTTTAGGCTATAAGATCTGTTATAGTAGCTTACTATTATTTATTATTTTTATTTTTTACTTGTTTATTTCTAAAAGAAATACTTTTATGATCTAATATCTGATATAGAATTTTTTATAATAATTTTAAAAAAGTAATTAAAATTTTTAAAAAGCTTTTTAATTCTCTTTTAACAGTTATTAATAAATGTAAATATTTTTATATTTGCAAGAACTAAACAATTTTTATTTGGCAAATATTCTTTTGCTATTTTATTTTATAAATATAATATATTTCTTAAATGCTCTTGCATATTCTTTTACATACAGTGTGTTGCAAAAAAAACTGGAATTAAAAAATTGACTATAACATCATAATGATCTTATCAAATTATATACAAAATAGTTTATTTGAAAAATGAAAATCCATGGATTTTATCAATAATAAATTAATATAAAATTTATTTAAGTAATTTTCTATAATTAAGCTTATAATTATATTTTTTTTTTTTTATAAATTTCATATCAAATTTTTCTTTAAAATTAACATTTGAAATTAATTTTCTCAAAAAGTAAAAAAGCATTAGAGTTTTAAATGATGTTAAAATGTAGCCTGATTATTAATATTCAAATTTATTTTAAATAAATTATATGTATTTTTGTAATTTGAACTATTTATTAGCATTTTTTAATATATACTGAAATTGTATTATTGTAATAATTTGAAAAATAGAATTTCCATTATTTTTATCATAAATGTTTCTTTACTGAAAAAAATATTAAATAATTTAGAATCCTAAAAAATATAAAGATTAAAGATGATTAGTATAATTTTAGTCTAAAAAAAGCAACTTTTCAATGCTGGAATTATGTATCTAGTATTTAAAAAAATAATGAAACTCTAATCAGTACTATTTAAATAAAAAAAATCTATATAAATATTTTGGCTTTTATTATACAAACTCAAATCTGATATTTTATATTTTTTGGGATTCTAATAATTTAAAAAAACCTAATATAAATAAATGAATTTGTATCAAAGTTAGGCCGCTAGTTTCGTTTAACATCAGAAAATTAGAGTTTTAATCAATCATGTGACTAATAAAGCTAATTGACCAATAATATTTATTTTTAAATCCTATTTATTTGAGCGGCCTTACATTATCGTATTACTAAGCAAAAAATAGTTATTGTCATGTGATTTACAAAAATAAAAATGCAGATGATTTTTCGAATTGTTGGTTTTGAGAGCAATAGGTTCAAATGGGGGTTAAAGGTTTATGGGAACTTATTTCACCTGTAGCTCGAACTGTTAAGCTTGAGTCTCTAAATAATAAAAGACTCGCAATCGATATCCTTTGCCTAGCTATTATGATAACAATTTGAAAAAGTCCATTTATTTTTGTCTTTAACTTTCTTTGTCAATAATTACATGCTAGCATTTGGCTATATCAATTCTTGACTGCAATGCGTGATAAGGAAGGAAATAGGCTACAAAACGCACATTTATTAGGGTTTTTTAGAAGGATATGTAAACTTTTATTTTATAATATCAAACCGGTATTTGTGTTTGATGGCGGATCTCCAGAATTAAAACGTTTGACTTTGGTTGGTTTTAGGTTCTACTTTATAGTATTATAGATATATTATATAATGAACTTAATAAAATGATGTAACTTTATAATTTTTACAGAATGAACGTCGTAAGAGACGAACTGGTAATGCCAATAATATACAAAAAACTGCTGAAAAACTCTTGTCTGCACAATTAAGGCTGAATGCTATTCAAGATTCAAAAGATTCAGTGTAAGCAAAGAATTATATTTCGATGGAATGTAATGACTAATATAAATCAGTCCTCTATAAATGCACAATTATTTTTGCACTAATTTGAACATGATGGATATGGTCTCAATGGGAGTGCACTTGAGAGAGTTACCTGTGTTATGAGTTCAAATAAAATAATTTATATTAATCAGATTTGATATGCTTAATTATTTGTATGTTAGCTCAAAAAAGAATAAAGGTTTATGGAAAAGAGCAAAAACCGATGATATTGTTTATTTTGATGGACTTAATGTGAGTTCGGAAGAACAAATTCGTCTGAGAAAACGTGATGAATATGATTTACCGTCTATGTCGGGAGGAATCGAGTAAATATGACTTATTAATTTAGCAATCTCTTGAAGCACATTAATTGATTCACACTTGTTATTCAGATCAATGATTAGTAAAGATGATCCTCGTCTTGCAACTGAAGATGATCTCAGAAATTTTATTAAGGAATTTAAGGTACAACAAATTATGTTGATTCGCAATATTTCAAATATTGGAATTTTTAAATCATTTTGTTGTTAAATAGCCTGAGGAGATAGATGTTGATTCTGAAGTATTTAGATCCCTTCCATTAGCTACACAATGTGAAATCATAGGAGAACTTCGAATCAAAAGTCGTCAAACATCTTGGGACCGTATTCAAGAGATAGTCAACAATGCTCCAATATCCTTTAATTTTATATTATAATAATGACACAATTTATTATCTAGAAATATTTTTTCTTAATTATTTTAATGTATACACCGCCATGGATTTTTCACAACTTCAGATAAAATATCTTGTAAAAAGAAACGATTTAACACAAAAGTTGATTAATGCCACAAATAATGCAAATACCGATAATACAACTCCAATACGAATAGCATCAGAACGTAACAAGAAATACGTGTTGGTAAAAAACAGAGAAGGAAATGCAGGATGGACAATGAGTTCTATAGATGAAAATGAATCAAATTATAAAAAGCAAGTTTCAGGTACAAGAGAAAGTCCCGTTTATGTGGACATGAGTCCACATAATGATGATAAAAATGCATCGCTTGAATTCTCAAAGTAAGTTATGTTGTTTTTCGTAGTCTATTTTAAAATTTTAGTAATAAATCGATTTATAACTTTTCGAAGGTCAGGTTTAACTACTGATAATAAAAATAAAGATTTTGAAGGTAATAATAAGTTTACGCATTATATCAAATCCTATATTAATTTTAACAACCTTTTTATCATCATTATTGCAGATCACACATCATTATCAAGCGAAGAACGGAGTGGTTTACTTATGGATAAAGATGCGTATGTTGAAGATAATGAAAGTATGGATTCAATTATTGAAAAATTCAAAAGGCTGGAATCCGAACAACTTGATGATATTCCAAATTTTGATACGTCTGCGTCAATGAATTCAGATTCATTCTATGTTCTTTGGCTTTCGCGAATGCCACCTGCTTTTCAAAAAGAATATCATGATCATAATGATATGCTTCGTAAAGCCGTTTATGTTTGGAATGATGATGAATTAGAAGAGCAAAAGAAATCGGTCACGAAAAAATTAGGAAAATTAAAGGAAAGTGATAAGCAAAAAGTGGATGCTTTGAATTTTTGGCAAAGATTTCTGAATGCCACATTTGAATTTCGCACTGATCGTCAAAGTAATACCTTTTTTAATGATCAACAAGATCTCGAGATTGGGACATCAAATAATCCTATAGGTTCGGAAGAACAAAAGATTCATGCGAGAGAAACAAATTATCCAATTCAAAAGCGCGCACACACAATAAAAAAATTAAATATTAATTTTGGGTCGTTAATATTACCGATTAATCACAATGTCTCTTCCTACCACACTTCAACATCCTTAGAGGATAGCGAAATAGTTGCAGGTAAAGTTTTAAAGTTTTTATTGAAACTTTCTCATTTTAATCGCGTAATATTTTATATCTCTATTGTTATGTTTAGAAACTAGCGATTTCGAAGAATTTGAAGAATTTGACTTAACAAAACCTTTTGATGCTGATTGTCAATCTAATTCATCTACAATAAATAGTCCATTATTGGAGCAAACTCCAAATGATCAAATAATCTACTCTGATATGGGTATTGATCTAAACACCGATATGGAATCTTTCGATACAGATTATGAAAGTCAAGCAGGTGCACCGACAAATAAAGTTACTTTTGAAATTGTAAATTCTATGAGGAATTCAACTGATATTTCCGAAGAAGATTATATCGAAATCTCGTCTGATGAGGATGATGAATCTAAATATGGATTGCAAATCGAATCTGCAATTAACAATTCTGATGAAGAAATTCCAAAACAGCTCACAGAAGAAGAATCTGAATTTGCTAGATTTCTTTCGGAGTTGAAGAAAAAAGATTTGAATTCGGTACAACTAGAATTGAATACTGAAGTTCAAAGACTAAATGAACAGCAAAGACGAGAGAAGCGAGATGCTGATAGTGTAACACAGACAATGATAAGTGAATGTCAAGTAGGTTTGGTTGATTTCCATTGTAAATTTATATTTTATATAGTTGTTTTAATTTTCTGGATATTATATAGAAACTTTTGCAATTATTCGGAATTCCATATATTATAGCACCAATGGAAGCTGAAGCACAATGTGCTGAACTACTTCACCTTGGACTTGTAGATGGAATTGTTACTGATGATAGTGACGTCTTTTTATTTGGAGGATCGCGAATATATAAAAACATGTTTAGCCAGCAAAAATATGTTGAATGTTATCTTTTGCAGGATTTAGAAAAAAATATGAGACTGGATCGTGAAAAGTTGATTAATCTAGCAATACTATTAGGAAGTGATTATACTGAAGGTCTATCTGGTGTTGGAGTCGTTAATGCCATGGAAATTTTAAATGAATTTCCTGGTGAAAAAGGGTTAGAGCACTTTAGAGATTGGTGGCTAGAAGTTCAAAACGGAATAAACAAACCAGACAATGAAAGCGATTTTAAAAGGAAGTTTGTTAGTATACATTGATATATGTAATTGTTGTTATTTAATTTAATTTAATGATATTAAATTTTATAATAGCGTAAGAAGATGAAAAATTTAATATTATCAAAGAATTTTCCAAGCCACCATGTACGAGATGCTTACCTTAGACCACAGGTAGATGATTCAAAAAATGAATTTCAATGGGCTATGCCAGATTTGGATGACCTCCGAGAGTATGTATTTACTTATTATTATTTTTTTTCTCGTTATTATTATTCAATTGTATGATTAATCTATAATTTTAAGTTTTTTAATGGATAATTTCTTATGGTCACATGAGAAAGTTGATGAAACACTTGTTCCACTCATGAAAACTTTGGTTAAAAGAAAGGTAAAATAATATCGTGGTTCCTAAATATCTTCTTATAGAATAGTAATTTATTTAATGTTTATAGTCGGAGGAAAAAAATCAAAAAGTTCTGGATGATTTCTTTGATCCTTCAATAGGTAGCAGTAATGTTTACAAATCACATAAAAGCGCGAGAATACAACGTATTGTGGATTCTTGGAAACATGAAACTTTCAATAATGAGAATCATAGTAATGATGGTAATGAGCTATCTCAACAGAAGAAACGGTCCCAAGAATCAGCAAATGTCATTACAGAACAAGGAAAATCCCTTTATAAAAAAAGGAAAAGACAAAAAGCCAATAAAAAAGTACAATAAAACTATAAAACTGGCATGATTTATCCTTTACAAGATGATTATTTATTTTTTGATTCTTATATAATTATATAAATAACATATCATGGCGGTAGATTGTAGTAAATGTGCTGTCAATCGTGTTGGATTGAAAATTTAATAATAAAATCAATCCAATTGAATCCATTGGATCAACTCAAATTGAATTTTTTAATTTGTGAATATGGATCGGACTGAAGCATTGACTCCTTGTGAATAAACATGCGTGTTCTAATTTACATTTCCTAAAATGGATGATGACAATAGGGAGGGGTTAATCCTAAAAATTTAAATTACGTCATTTCTTCCCCATAGTAATTACATTTGCCACGTGAAAATAATTCTGATCAGAATTATATTAAACTACAAGTATGGAAATTGATTGTCTGAAGTCTGAACCCCTGAACTCCCCTTAGGCCATGATTATTGTGTTACAACACTATGGGGCTCGGCATGTGGGTGTTTGACATTAAATATACTTATTACTAGCTTATACGGAGTTATCATGTAATTCTATTACCAAATCAATTATAATAAAAAAAAGCACTTTTTTTTTATTAATATATTCATACCCTTAAACGAAAAGCTTCCCAAGCCTCATTATGCTAAGCCATGACGAAATTAAGCCTCTTGATCTATCCGAAAGGCTATGTGTGGCACAGTAATTGTAAATCTTAAGGATATTAACCAAATAAGCGAATTTTGCGGCAATGCGAATATAATACAAAAGATCATTTCCGAGTACATTTTAAATAACATATTTCTAAAAATAGAAAAAAAGAAATTTTTATAATGCGGCTAGTAAGCATATTATGCAGTTTTTAATTTTTACATCATAACTGTGGCGAATTACTACAGCACGTAATTAATTTTTAAGCTAAAAAAAGAACACTGAAAAGTAGCTTTTCCTTTTTTGACGAATTCAATTTTTCTAAAATTCAAATTTTTCAATGTCTTCAATATCAACATTTTTAGCCTTCAACAATACAACACTCAAAAGATATTATATTATTTATATCTTATATAAAAAAATGCACCAGTATATCTCGTTTATTGTGAAACACTAACCCCTCCTCAATTTTTTTTTGTGCTGCAACGCGTACATGCTAATATTATAAATCCATAAAACCCTTAACGTTTTGCCTTCCGTACTTTCCTTATCTCACAGCCTCTCGGGTTGTAATGGAGAAATAATATTGTATTTATAAAATTTATAAAATAGTAAAAATAATAATTAAAGCCCATCGCTTTCTTTGCTAATAATAATAATTTTAATAATTTAATAAATTAAACATATTAAACATTAATAAAATACGGTGCTTGGAAATTCAGAGCCTAATAATAGTTAATTAAAAAAGTTTCACGTCTTCCTCTTGCAATATACCAAATGTCTTATCCTCAAGGTGGATATCCTCCTGGCTATCCAAGTCAGAATCAACCACAAATTCAAGGTTATCCGCCAACTGCGTCTTTTTCAAACATTGACACAACGACACAACCTTTGTTAACTTCAACTTCTAGTGGTGGAGGTAATGCTTCGGTTTCGTTTGCAGTTGAGCCGGAACACACGAAACATTTTGGGCAAGCTCCTGTACGTCAACCACGTCGTTTTAAAACGACTAAACGTGTAGAGCTTTTCCAAGGAAATTTAGTTTTAGATTGTCCTGTGCCTACGAAACTCTTATCAATGGTTCCTAGACAAGATGATAGAGAATTTTCTCATATGAGATATACTGCTTGTACTTGTAACCCCGATGACTTTCAGAGAGAGAAATATACACTTCGTCAAGAACTTTATGATCCCCGTAGGCCAACCGAATTATTCATTGTGCTTACTATGTATAATGTAAGTATTTGCGGGAAAAGTAGATTGTCTTCATAATTCTTAAATCTAGCCGGAAGTAAAAGTAATTATCCGAAAAATTAAAGTCAATTTATATTCTCCTATTTCAATATTATAGGAAGACGAAATTCTTTTCGCCCGTACTTTTCACGGTGTTGTAAAAAACATATCTCATCTTTGTTCCCGTGATCGATCTCGTGTTTGGGGTAAAGATGGATGGAAAAAAGTCGTAGTATGCATAGTGTCCGATGGTCGGCAAAAGATCAATCATCGCACTTTGTCTTATTTGGCTGCTATTGGCGTTTATCAAGATGGTGTAGCTAAAAATCAAGTTAACGGTAGAGAAGTTACTGCACATATCTATGAATACACCACCCAAATTTCAATTGATCCTGATATGAATTTCAAGGGTGCTGATAAGGGAATTGTTCCAATTCAAGTGCTCTTCTGTCTTAAAGAAAAGAACGCGAAAAAGATTAATTCTCATCGTTGGTTCTTTAACGCTTTTGGTAATATACTCAATCCAAACGTTTGTGTCCTCCTTGATGTTGGTACCAAACCTGGCGGTACTTCTATTTATCACTTATGGAAAGCTTTTGATATTAATTCGAACGTTGGAGGAGCTTGTGGTGAAATTGTTGCCATGAAAGGTACAGCTGGTGTAAATTTGTTGAATCCCATAGTAGCTGCTCAAAATTTTGAATACAAGATGTCGAACATCTTGGATAAACCTCTCGAATCTGTCTTCGGATATATAACCGTGTTACCCGGTGCTTTTTCCGCTTATCGTTTCATTGCTTTACAAAATGATCGTAATGGAAATGGTCCATTAGCTTCTTACTTTTTGGGTGAAGCTCAACATGGTGGTGATGCCGATATTTTCACTGCAAATATGTATCTCGCCGAGGACCGTATTCTTTGTTTCGAATTGGTGGCAAAGCGAAATTGTTCTTGGGTATTGCATTATGTAAAATCTGCTTATGCTGAAACTGATGTACCGGACACCGTACCTGAATTGATTTCGCAAAGACGTCGTTGGTTGAACGGATCATTTTTCGCTGGTGTTTATGCTATTTGTCATACTTTTGCCATTTGGAGGAGTGACCACACTACTATTCGTAAAGTATTATTACATGTTGAAATGGCTTATCAAGCTTATCAATTATTTTTCTCCTGGTTTGCTTTGGTAACTTTCATTAAATCTTATGCGATAATATTATTACATTTTATTTATTATTTTAATAATACTGTTTCAATTTTTAATCTAGGGCAATTTTTATCTAGCTTTTTATATTGTGGGTAATTCTCTTACACAGCCAGAGGTCATTGAAGGTCTTTGGAGTGTAACGGCTGGTGAAATTGTATTCCAAATATTACGATACGTTTATTTGACATTGTTAATTGTCCAGTTTATTCTTGCTATGGGTAATCGACCTCAAGGGTATTTATTCATTTCTAATACATATTATTATTTGATAATTGTATCGATATATACTTATAATCATTAATCACATTTTAGTTCAAAATGGGCATATATTGTTTCGATAGTATTTTTTTCGGGACTTATGATTTATATGTTATTCGCGTCTGGTTGGCTCGTCTATAAAGGAGTTTCAATTCAGTTGAACGCGCTTAATGAAAGTAATAAACTTTCTGGGCTGAACGTGAGCACGACTAGTGCTATTATGAATAATCCAGCCTTTCGGAACATTATACTTTCCATTGTAGCAACTTACGGGATATACTTTTTAGCTAGCTTTTTGTTTTTTGAACCTTTTCATATGTTTACAAGTTTGGCACAATACTTGTTACTAGTTCCATTTTATATTAATATATTAAATGTTTATGCCTTCTGTAACGTACATGATGTCAGGTAATTATTCTAATTTTTTTTTACAATTTTTCTTGTTGTATGCGTTTACATTTACATGTTTATTTTAACTTATTATAATATAGTTGGGGCACTAAAGGTGACACATCCATGAAACATGATTTGGGTACCGTAAATACAGGAGGAAAAGGTGAAGTTGAAGTAGAAGTTCCGGTCGAAGATAAAGATATTAACGCAGCATATGAAGAGGCACGTGCTGAATTAGCGCGTCACGCGGAGGAAGAAGTCAAACATCGATCAAGAGCCGATAAACAGGATGATTATTATAAGGGTTTTCGTACACGTGTCGTATTATTTTGGATCCTTTCTAATGCTGCTTTGGTTGCTGGTATTACTAATGCTAGTGAAACATTGAATCATATGTTTCCGGAAGAACGACGTAGCAACAGTTATATGGCATTTATACTTTGGTCTGTTACTGGGTTAGCTGCTTTTAGATTTATGGGTAGTTGTATATATTTATTGTTTAGATTGTTTACTGGTAATTAGTAATTTAATCATGAACTCGAAGATATTATTTTTAAAAGTAAATATAGAATAATTATAAATTATATATTGTAAATTGATTAATAAATATAGGATCATTTGATCGTAATATACAATCAATACAATCAATACTCAAAATAAAAAATCGTTATATTAAATAATTATTGGATGAGGTAAAAACATCGAAGGAATACTGCGGCGACTAGCTGACATTAGGAAATTTAGGAAACCGTTGTGATTCCGAAGCGAAAAAAAATTGCAGATATTTACATGGATTATAAATAACCAATAAGAAATTATAATGATAACTTTTTAATATATGGTAAATTAATCAGATGCATAGAAAAACGATAATCTAGTCGGAATTGCGATTATCTGTTTTGTGTTGAAAGTTTGTAATTAGCTTATGAACTAGACCCAACACGCCAATTTTGCCATCATCAGCTGAAGATGAAGAACGAACAACTAGACAAAACACGCCAATCTTTATTGACTTTTGAAACTAGGAAAAATAAAAAATTGTACAATAGAAGCTAATAAGATTAAAAAAGCAATTTTTTTTAAAACCAATATTACTGTACATTACGTCCACCAGAAATCATGTGATACAAATATTTCTCTAAACCATGTAATATATTGTCTACCCTCATGCGACGTCATCTTTATCTTTTTTCGCACGTCTGAAATGTGTGTCAGGTTGACGGCGCAGTGTGGCGCAGTAATTCAAAAAAATCTAAGTTGAAGATTTTCTTTTTAATGTAATGCTTTCAAATTTACACATTAGATGTATTTTCATCTGTTTTACAAAATTCACTTATAAACGGAAGGAGATTTTGGACGTAGATTTTGACTTTAGTATATAACAACTGATTTTATCGTCTTTGCCGATCATTTCCAAAATTGGATTTGTCGAAAAAATAGTTTTTGTTAAATAAGTATAACTCGAAAATGGCCTTCTAAACCGCCTGTATATCTCTAAGTAAATTTGCAGAGCGGACGAAAATACATCTAACGCAGGAATTTAAAAGTTTTATTTAAATAAAAAAAATTGCAATTTAATTTTTTTTGGGAAAATCGCTGCGCCACACTGCGCCGTCAACCTGACACATTTCAGACTTGCTCTTTTTTCGCTTCATAAAATGAGAGAATAATCCTATAATATATACTACTTTTCAAAGTATTTTGGTTAAAAGTTGCAATAATTATTTCCTTTCTTTTCAAATAAATTGTTACTTTCTGTTGTAATTGGTGCATTATATTGTATAATTAACTTTAGTTTATAGTAAGTGATTGTAACTCACTTTCTGTATCTCTAATTCTATTATTAATACATAATCCATATTTTCCAAAGTAAGGATAACCATTTATTTTACGTATCCTTTCTCCCTTCTTTTTATAATTTGGCCAGAATTAAAAAATATTTTTAATTTTAGCCAAAAGTTAGTGTATTACTTTATTTTTACTATTCCTCTTAATAATTATACAATATTCTAACTAGTAAAAGACCTTTAAAAAAAACTAAAGAAAAGGGTAGCTTGAAGTAAAAAATAGTTTTTCTTAATTATTAAAGGAACTACGTAATTTATTTATTAAAAAATAAGCATTTGATATACCTTAAAGTTCTTAATTTATCCGCATCGGAATTTCTAATTACATTTTTATCAATTCATTAATCTTAAATGTTGATGATTCTTCTGTATAGTTTTCAATTACCATTGTCATGATATTCCTGCCCTTGTTGATTCAATTGTATATAACGGGAATAATATGTCATATTCCAATCTGGTTGTTTTCTTTTATTTTTCTCTTGTAGCATCACCAAAATCCTAAATTCTTCTGCACATCTATTTCGCATAATAATGTCCCCTTTTATATTATATATATAAGACATTAATTGAAGAACATTAAGCAGTTCCGAAATTGATTCTAAATCCTTAAATCCTATTCGCGAAGCGTCAAGTGCATACAACACATCTTGCCAATTGATAGATTGTTTCCTATTTGCTAAACGAATTTAGACAGTAAGTAAAAATGATATTATTTATGAATTTCATATTTAACGTTGTAAAAAATTAAACCTTGTAAATCTTGGTTAATACATGCAATCAAGCACTGTGCATAAATGTATTGTGCAATTGACTGTAGATGAAGTGAATGTTCTGCAAGAATCTAGATTAAAGAATATTAAGGAACGTAATTACGCTTTTTAGATTATCTTCATAATTGATAACATACCACTGGCATAATTTTTTCAATCATCGATCTTGCTCTACCAGCTAATTCGAAATTAAGCAAGATCTGCGCAAGCCTTATAATGGCCAAGAAATAACTACTTTGATAATGAAATCGCTCACTTAAGCAAAGCGAACTTAAAACATAGGGAAGAGCAGAAGTGAGATCTTCCGTCTCCTATAATAAATCACTCAATTAATATCATTTCTTGATGTGATTATATACAACTACAGTCAAGTTATTCAAAATAGACATACTATGCGAATTTCAGCAATTTTGAGTAAATAATTAGCTACCAACATTTGATTTTGGTTACCTATCCTGCAACTCTGATTGATTAATTTATGTAGGACATCCACTCCCTTTAGAATCAAAAAATATATTAATGTTTTTAATGTTATATGCATCTGAAACATATAATGGTTACCTCGTCAGGTCGATCAGTTTTAGCTAAATAAAGAGCTCTGTTAAATTCAAAATCTGCACGGAAAAGATCATCATCTTGACAACAGGCGCGAATTTGATGTTCGATAGCTCCAATATTAAAAATTTCATCACTATTTTGTAAACGAATTAAATGTAACTCTTGTACAACCAAAAAGTCAAAAACAATCATACTTACCGATTAAAGCTCTTTTGATACATTAATTTTTCAAAGCAAAAGACCCATTGCGAGACTGCTCTTCTTATGCCATTGAAACGTACTTTTGACTTTGCAAGAACTTCAAAAGCATTCAAATAATTACCATGCGAAACATGCTGATATGATCAAAGGATTAATAAGTATATCATTCGTACATATAATAAAAGTAATCCGATTTTTTTTTTATAAAAAAAAATATTAGTTACATTATCTGCAAGTTGGCATATAGCAGTCACACGATCTTCTGGACTAGGATCGGGATTATTGATAACTTCATTAGTAAACAAATTTGCTAAGGTATCGCTGCCTAAAAGATTAAATTAGGTAAATCACAAAGTATTATCAAAATAATAATAAATAAAAAAAAATAGATAAAGACAGTACCATAAGTTTGCCATACACTAGCGTTCAATAAATGTCCTTGAAATCGCATTGTTTTAAATGGACAATTCATGTTCAATACAGAACTCCTAAGTAATGATTCAAATACTTCGGTTGGTGGAGATCCCTACATAAAGAGTCATTATAAAAACATGTTCTTTTAAATAAATAATTTAAAAGATTAAATTACCTGTTGAATTTGCCGTTGTGACTTTCCTAGTTCTCCCAGAGCTTGTAAATACATGAAATTGGCTTGTTTAGCTTTACTTATAAGTGATTCTAACATCTGTTGTTCGGATGCACTAACATGCGTTCCTGTTGTCTGATCAGATGATTTCAATCGATACAGCCAGCTAAAATTCAAAGTTAATCGATGATTAGATACGTCGTAGCTAAAAATCTTATCTGTAGTGCATACCTTAAAGCAAATCGCAGACACTCTTGATCATTGTTTTCACGAGCCATTTCGATTGCTTCTCGGATAGCCTATTATTAATCTATTAGAATTTGACAAGAAAACATTAAAACTACACAAAAGTAATCAGCACAAACCAATATGGCTTGTTCTTTATGTCCAAATTTGGCATGGAGAACAACCAAATTTAACAGAACATATTGATACCAGCTCCTATAATAGGATTTAAAGCAATAAGAATTTTATCATGCAATTTAATTAATTATAAATTTCCAACCTATTTTCTGGGTCATCAGGACAAAAATTCGAGTATTTATAGAAGTTGGTTAAAGCTCCTTCATACTCCCCGGTTTGCATATACTTTACGAATCTAAAATATTATATTAAGTTTATAGGGTTGAAAATAAGATTGACACGCTTATATTTAACACTGACTCTATATAATATATTGATGAAATTTCTGGAATTCTATCGTGTATTTTTCGGAGTTTCTCCTCAATTTCTAAAGGTAAAATTCCACCATATTCTGTCGAGATTAGATTGTCAATGAACAATGTTATTAATAATAAAATTAGTTTAAAATCTCCCTCATTTATTACAAATGATTTTCTTACTGCGAAGTTGAGTAATAACATAATGAGAGAATGATTCTGCATCATTTTTGGGAATTAACTCTAATAAAAAGGAATACTAGTATAAGCAAGATAAAAACATTCAAATATTAGCGAATTACAAGTTAAATAATGTACCTTGTTTATGCATATGAAATCGTTGAGCTAATTCTGTCATTTCTGAAACTTCAAGGGGAACGTATGCATCTTTCATGAATAAAGTACTTGGTTTCGTTGTACGTTTATCTCTGTATTCGATGAAAGCATTATACAATCGACTTATATCATCAAACATCAATTTGTTCATTTCAAGGATGCAACGTCGAACAAATATTCCTAATAAACTATATTTTCTCTTAATTGATAATAATCGCATGAAATATAGAAAAATAAATAAACATTACATTTGCAAATACAAAAGTAATAAATACCAGGAAAAGTTCCTTAAATAATATATCGAAATAAAATAATGAAGTGAATATCTATTTTTAATTAAAAAAAAAAATATTCACGTGGAATTCAAATACTAACTGCGTCGCGGGTAAAAAACCTTTTCATTTCTAATAAAAAGTTTTAATTAATAATAATTATAGCAAATAATTAGTTAATTAAGTTTAAATTACCCTTAATCGAAAAAGTAAGCTCATGGGGAGTAACTATAATCACTAACTATGAATTAAATAAACTTTACTTTAGTAAATTTCCAAAAAGACGCGTCAACATTCATTACCTTTGCCAATAAAATTTCACTAAAGTTATTTGTTGTGTTATCTGTGTTATCAGATATTTTGGTAAGTTCATCACAGAGTTCTTTCAGTGTAGGTTCTGGAAAACGTTGTTCATCCTGTAAAAAAAATTAACACAGAGCTATATATTTAATCTTTTTTTTGAAAGAAAATTCGTGATAAATACCGAAATCTTTTCTATAAGAAAGAATAGCAATGGTTCGAGTTTTTCTGGTGTTGTAGAATCTGTTTCTATTATTTCCCAATATGCTTCAATTAAAATCAGTAAAGAAATTTTGTGAGGAGTTAGCATCGAGGTTTTCGCGACGAAGGCTTCCATAGTTTAAAAAAATTGTCGATCGGAAATAATCAGAAAATATAAAAAATGCTTGGTTGATAATTTGTCACAACCGTGATCACTACTAAAAAAAATTCATTTTTAAATTACAATCGTACAAATGTTAATTGACACTTGTCGGTACAAAAAACGAGCACATTTATAAATTCATTTTTCCACAGCCTTTTGTAATTTCTGAAACTTTTTATTAGTTTTTTTTCTTGCTTTTATTGTTTTAAAAAAAGACAGCCTCCCGAAAAAAAACGGCGGTGATTTTTTGCTTTTAATTATAGCGATACATTTATTCATAAAACAAACAAATCATGAAAGCTCTCATACTCGTTGGCGGTAAGTGAATTTATGGTTGCCCATTTATTAAACAAATCGTATTTTGATTGAATTTTTTATAATTAGGATACGGTACTCGCCTGAGGCCTCTTACTCTTACACTTCCAAAACCATTGGTGGAGTTTTGTAATAAACCAATGATATTACATCAAATAGAAGGACTTGTAAAGGTTTTATATTTAAATTTCAATTCTCATTCATTTTTTTACATTTATTTTACATTTTTATTTTTTTCTTATAGGCTGGAGTAACAGATATTGTATTAGCCGTTAATTATCGACCCGAGATCATGATCTCACTTCTTCAAAAATATGAAAAGGAATATAATGTAAAAATCACTTTCTCGGTAGAAACTGAGCCTTTAGGGACTGGTCGGTACATTTTAAAGCCGTATTCCTTTATACTCTTTATTTTATTAACCTAGGTATAATAAATCAAATCGTTAGCTGGTCCTCTTGCATTAGCTCGTGAAATTCTTGGAAAAGATGATTCACCCTTTTTTGTATTAAATAGCGATATTATTTGTGAATTTCCGTTTGAACAATTAAGAGATTTTCATAATGCTCATGGAAATGAGGGTACTATAGTTGTATGTATACTGTGTGGATATTGAGAGTGGCGACCCTTTATAATATAAGTTCCAACTATTTCGTTTAATCCTCTCTTACTAATTATCAAGGTTACCAAAGTTGACGAACCTTCGAAGTATGGTGTGATTGTAAATCATCATGACTCAACGTGCATTCAACGATTTGTTGAGAAACCTGTAGAGTTTGTTAGCAATAAAATCAATGCTGGTATCTATATTTTCAATCCTACTATATTAGATCGGATTGAGGTTTGTGTAATATTATTCTGAACCTTTATATCAGAAACTTTTAAAATTTTAAGATAATATATTATTTTTACAGCTTAAACCTACATCTATCGAAAAGGAAATTTTTCCAAAGATGGCAGCCGACTCCCAATTGCATGCATTCGAACTTGACGGTTTTTGGATGGATGTTGGTCAACCTAAAGATTTTCTAACTGGCACTTGTTTGTATCTTTCAAACTTAGCTAACAAACAACCGAATCTCTTGGCAAAGCCTGACAGCGGATATATATATGGAGATGTACTAGTAGATCCTACTGCAAAAATAGGTAAAGATTGTAGAATTGGTCCCTATGTTACTATCGGTCCAAACGTTGTTATTGGTGATGGTGTTAGATTACAAAGATGTGTTATATTAGAAGGAGCGCGAGTAAAAGATTTTGCTTGGGTTAAAAATAGCATTGTTGGATGGCATTCAACACTTGGACGATGGGTATTGTATTACTTATTCATCTCAAGAGCGCTATTTTTACATTTATAAATAATTTCATTTTTGTCTTTTAATAGACTCGTCTGGAGGGCGTTTCAGTTTTAGGTGACGATGTTACCGTTAACGAGGAGATCTATGTTAATGGCGGTTGCATTTTACCTCACAAAAGTATCTCCACTAACATTACGGAACCTCAAATAATAATGTAAAAAAATTATCAGCAGATTTCAACTGATTGATAATTTTTTAAACAAAAACTTTGCTTTAAATGGCGTTTTTAAATTATTATATGAAGCGATCCATTGTTGACAATATTATTGATCTCCATTTGTTTGGACTTAAAAATAATAATTATAATTATAGAATTTTTTTTTTTTTGACTTTTAAAATTTTTACTGGTAGCTTTCACTATATGATGATTTTTTCACTATTATATAATTTAACAATTGCAAACGAATGGTAAAATTTTAATAATATTTACAATATACTGCACTACCCAATATTACTTAATGAATTTTTATTTATTTCCTACTTCATTTTTTTAAAATGAAACTACTATGATAGTTTAAACTATTTGAACTCTCTTTGGTTTAAATTGAATTTAAGCCATTAATTATAAAGCAAAACTACGTTTTTAGCTTATCAGAAGCCGTGATAAATGCGCCAGCAAAGCCTCAAACCTTTGATTTCAAGCCTATCACTTTTGAAGCCAAACCTTATTCAGAATTAATTATCAGATCCGTGTTAGATACTTAAGATTCCGAAATAGTTTTAGGGGGATTGATAATTATAATTTTGCATTTGCTCAGCCCATGCCCTATCTGTGATGGAAAACAAGAGAATTATGGATTACATGGCGAATGGTATAAAAATGGAATCAAGCAATAAACTCAAGTTCGCAATCGTAGTGTAGGCCAGTCATGTGAGATAGAAACACATCGTCAGGCTCGCCTTGAATGGGCTCTTGCTCATAGAAATTGGACAAATGAGAAAATGGAGAAGTGTGCTTTTTTCCGATGAAAGCACTTTTATACAGTTTCAACAAGGTCATCAGGAAAAGGTTTGGCATGAACCAGGAGAAATATTGAATCCTGATTGTATTGCAGTTACTGTAAGACACAGCCCTAGCAGAATATTTTGGGGTTGTGTGGACTTGGACCAATTGTTCCGTTAAAAGGTTCAGTTACAAGTAAAACCCATGCTAAAATTATTCAAGATTATGTCATACCAACTTTGGATAAGTATTTTCCATGTGGTAATGGAATTTTCCAAGAGGATAGATAATGCTCTGCCATATCATTCAAAAGTTGCTATGGCCACCCATAAAGATGCAAAAATTGTGGTGCTTCAATGGCCAGCACAAAGCCTTGACTTAAACCCTATTTGAGAATATGTGGGCAGAAATGAAAGCAATGGTACGTTGTTGTGATCCACTACCATTTAATATTTAAATGCTTGAGAAGTATATTAAAGATGCATAGGATGATATTCCTTCAAAATATTTTAAAAAATTAATTGACAGCATGCTATGCAGAATTGAAGTGGTTATTACTGCAAATGGATATAATATTAATTATTAATATATAATTTTTTTTACATATAATATTAATAACAATCAGATTAATATATTTACAGTCAACTCTCTATAAATGCACCCTCTATAAATGCACACCCTCTATAAATGCATTTTTTATCTAGTTCCAACTTGGGCCTTAATGCTAAATGCACGGTTTTTATATATGTGTATTCTGTTATTTCTGGAAATGCACCCTTTATAAAAAAAATTTTATATAGTTTACTTATAAAATTTTTGTATTACCTTAATTTTAGATTAATAGTATATAGATTTATATGTATTCTATAAATGCACACCCTCTTTAAATGCACTCTTATACCTGGTCCCAAGGGGGGTGCATTTATATTAGAGAGTTGACTGTACTTAATAATTTTTGTTATAATTGCAATTTTTTATTATCCATATTATTATTTTTATTATATTATTTTATTATGAAATTTTTATTTAAAAATATCCATATACTTTTGATCACCTGATATATAAATGAAGTAATTGCTAGTAGTATAAGAGAAACTTTTATTGATTGGATAAAATATTGAAATTCTGATTGGCTGAAGTAATTTTATAGTTGTAATGTTGATCTTAAAGTTTTACAAGAAGTTTCAATAGGAAAAATCATCTTTTTTTCTTTTTTAAAAGATTTTAAACTTGCCTATGTAAATGGCAAAAACTTTTAGTTAAAGAAGAAATATATTTTACTAAATGTTTCAATCTTTAAAAATTTATAAACCAATATATTGACTTTGTATAACAAGTAGGTATTACCCAGGTTTTTCATAGTAAGACTTGGTGACAACACTGGATCAGACTGAATTAGGGTTGAAAACTACATAATTTTTAATGAAACAAACAATTTTTATTAAGCTATTGGACTAGATTACTTTATATTATAATATACTTATCTTATGATGGAATGAAATGTTTTACATAATTTATTAGTAACATAAGCATATTTAATATTAAAAGTGGTACTTTAAAAGTGATATAAATAAAAAATTTTATTAAATTTAATAGCTTTTTATTTAAATGTATAGAAAAATCTATAAAATTTTTTGAATAAAAAAAGTTCAATTCTTGTGTAACATTCAGGATCAAATCGAATTTTGCTCATGCTATTGCTGGTTAAAAAAGTTTTTATTAAAAGTTTTATTGAAATCAAGAAAAATTTTTTTTATTATAAAAATTGGTTTTTTGCAATTACATAAAACTCCCTAAATAACTGCCCTTTTTAACTTAATATATCTTTTTCTACTTGTAAAATTACATATATTTGCATTATTTAAATTGTATTTTATATCCATCTTTAAATTGTTGTATTTTGAGGAAAACTTCATTTTTGAAACAAACTTTCTTATATATATAAAGAAAAAAAAATATTACTAAAGAGAAATGATAATGAATATTTATAATACACAATTACACATGATAAACTATTGTCACCATTTTCAAAATAATGTACACAGGACCCCGAAATATACATAAAAGGGTCAGGTCAGAGTTTGCGTATAATGAGTCAAAAAATCATGTAGATCATTCCTTTTATGGATAATCCCAGCCAAAATAATATTTTCTAATTTAGATAATGGCTGAAATTATCGTAATTCTGGTCCTGAAAGAATGCATATTTTGGACCACTTCTGGATCTGACCTCTACATATATATTTCGGGGTCCTATGTATACAGTTTATTTGTAATTATATATTCAAATACCAATATTCACCCAGTTTTCATCCATTTTTTATCTATATTTTGTCAGTTTTTGTCTGGGTTTCAGTTTTCTTTTTTTTTTATTCAAATTTAACTACGTACATTATTTTGAAAATGGTGATAATTTACTTAATTTATATAATCATTGTATTAAAAATTTTTTTTTTTAACTATGTGGTGATATATTCAATTATAGTTATACAAAATATTTTAATTAATGATCAGCAAGAGAAATAAAACATCTACAGTGCACGTCATCTATACTTTACAATAGTCTGAAATTCATGGTAAAATTATGTGACATTACACATAATTTTAACCAATTAAATTCTGTTTAAAAAAAGAAATTTATCGCATTTTTTATATTTCAACTTTATTTAATTCTTCTAAAATATTATCAGGAACACGTCTGTGAGATTTATATTTTTTCACAGCATATTCTGCTAACTTTCCTCCAATTCCTTTACGGTAAATATCCATATAACACCACGTTTTTCTTGCAAATTTTCTGATTGTAGTTAAATTAACAGAATCTAAACCTAAAGGAACTGTTTTTTGCAACCCTGCCCAAGAATAATCGCAGTTTTCACGTGTAAATTTTTTTGTGGCTCCCCAATACATCTCAATATAATTTAACTCGCAATGGAATTTGGGATAAAATACACATTTGTGACCTGCCGTTGAAATAATTTCATGTAATGCACCTTTTTGAGCCACAAAATCTGGTTCCAAAGATATAATTCGTCTTGCACAACAATCAACTCAGTTAGGATCTTTATCTCCATTTTTACATAATTGACAATCTGCTCTCAACCCCTCCTTCCATTTTCCTCTTTCTAAAAGTATTTGTTTCATTCCCTTAGGTTTTTCGCGCAATTTTTCATCAAAATAATCATTTGAAAAACACATATCTTGTTGATTATTGTCTCCCCAAGTTGTACTTCGCATTACCAGTTGTTTTCCACCTGGAAAATGATTCATTTTGCTCGCTACAAGTGCATCTGGCAAAAATGCAGCATGGTTTGAACTGTTATCAAATGCAAATACAGCAATACAGGTGGGAAATAAGGCCTCAAAAATCGGAATTGCTTTTGATTTTACTTGCTCTAACAAATGATTCATTGTCCAATATCCTTCTTGATTTTTGCCAGGAATTAAATAAATGCAAGCTTCTTGTGGGATATTAGGGTAATTTTCAATTGTTTGAGCATTTAATTTAAACCGTCCACATGCTTCTGTTAAAAATTCACTTACCATAATTGATCGACCATTCCCTTTTTTTCGTAATGGCAATTCACCTGTTTTTGCCCATACTTCACGCTTGCCATCATTAGAATAAAAAATGCACTCATCATATATTACCAAAATATGTTTTTTTTTTACTATTTTGAAGATTTGGCAAGATTTTATCCATTGTTTCTCCTTCATAACTTGCCATATATGGTTCATATTTATCCATTTCTTCTAGAAATATTTTTCAGTATTTTACTACATCTTCTCTTTTGTGTCCATCAATATACTCCTTGCCTTTGTTATTGATGAAAAAAACCTAATACATTTAACCACTGTCTTATAGTAGAATCAGAAATAGTTTTTTGTTTAGTAATTCCAGTTTCAGGTAAAAGAGTTTGTTCAACAAATTCTTTGAACTTTTTTGGTGTTGTATGTCCTCCCTGACTACGAATCTAGGCTTGACATTTTGCTACTACATCTTCATCATCAACTAATCGAATAATTTTTTGATGTTTACCTTGAAAGGTTGGTGGAAGTTGAAAATGTTGAAGCCAATATTTTGCCCAAACTCTAATACATCGTGCTTTATATAGACGACTTTCAATAAAGACCAATTCTGCAGCTTCAACACTTGCTTTTATTAATCCTTTTTCATTTTCTTTAAATTTAATTCGTTTTAACATTTCAAATATTGCTCTTTTTTTATTATATTCAATTACTGACATTTTGTATTGATCTCTCCTTAATTCTTCCTTTAAATCTTCGATTTTAACTTCAACTCCTTTAAAATTCCATCCATCATCTTCTGTAAGAATTTCTATTTCTTTATTTTTTGGGCTAAAAAAACTTGTTAATTTTAATGTACCCTCTGCAGCTTTAGTCTATTTTCCACTTGGTCCATAATTATCATAAAATGTAGATTTTTTAGTTGATCCAGTTAAATATGGTCTACGTGTTTTTTTTTC